AACATAACTCAATATTCGAGCCCTGGAGCTGGTGGCACTATGATGCCATTATGATTTTCCTACCACAGTTTATTTTCTTGCATTCCTTTATAAATATATCCTAGATAGATTCTCAAATACAAAAACACTAGGGGTCCGCAGGCATAGCCAAGCTACACAGTATTCTCTCCGTGTGTGCTTTGTATCCCTCTATGTCTTGTAGACAAGAGAATAATAGGTGAGGAGAATTCCAAACTCACAACCTTGGAAAAAATACAAATCTCCACCAGAAATGACAGGGAGATATCATGATACAGTATTCACCTTGGTATGTATTTTATATGCAATGCCCTATGTCATTCCCTGTCCTATATCACACCACATCCCCGACTTCTATAATTACTATCTGTATAGTACATCTACGGAGATCCCGGTACTTGCACCGAAGTATATACACCAGGGTACACAAACAACCCCAAGGCGCATGTCCTCAAGTTCCACAGACAACTCTCCCCCACGCACCCCTAGTCACTAGTCACTAGTCACCAGTCCCTAGCCCGAATAGGAAATATGACACACGCACTTGCTATGATCTACGATCCGATCTGACCTGATCTGCGCGCTCCTAACCCTTTTTAGACCTCTACTGCGGCCGTCTTTCTTCCCTGGGTTGATGCTGGATTCATCTGTGTCAGGTCGTGCACGTATTGTACCACTGTATGACTTGGTGCGAGATCTAGATCTGGTGTGAGGCAGTTTTCGGGGTTTCTTGTGTTATCTTTGTTGGGGTTGGTTGGGTATACTTGTAGGTCAGCTGGGATGAGATAGGATATATCGTGTACATAGTACTTTACTTTTCATTGAGGCTTTGTTGTGGTTGTTATCTTTGAGATTGTTGGAATATGGCTATGACTGGGAAGTATGACTGACCTTTCGAGTTTGGAAATGTCCACAGTGGGATCTATCTGTTGACGGTAATATAATACCATGCCAAGTCTATATCTCATTGTAAGTAATCACATCAGCCCCTTTATAGAAAAACAGGGTCTACCCAAAACCTAAAGTAAAAAAAAGGTATACGAACTAGTATCTAAATTGATAGGGCGATACTCTTTCAAACTAGATACCAGAGTCGAAAGGAAATCCAAATCCAAGATCAATAATGCCGATTCAAAGAAAGACCTGGGTGAGCCCGAGAAGTAAAAGCCAAAAAGGAAGCGACTGATCAAGAAAAGATTAGGGCTCAATGTGCCAGACATCTTCCAATCTTATGAACCTGCGTAGGTGTCATGCTCCATGCTCCGGTGGAGGAGTCCAAACTCAGATGTGGGGGGTATAGAAAGAGGAAAAGAAAAAGAAAAAAGAAGGCTGGAGAATAACGTAAGTGATAATGACTGGGATGAGAAGAGATAAAGTGAAATGGTAAGAAAAAATATAGATAAGAAGTGAAATAGAAGAAGCTGCTCAGCAGCTTATGCCAAAAGCCCAAACCGAAAAACAGACCATTTATTCCCAGAAGATGAGAGGAACCGTCCATCACATCATACCAAACCAGATTTATCACGCAGGGAAATTCCAGCCCGGTGTAAACCCAGGATAAAACGTTGAGTCATGTGCCTGGAAATTGAAATCACCCATCATCTCCGCAGACAAATTCTCAGCAAGATGATGAGAATGCGTATGAGACTCAGCCATGAGGCCGGGCGGTAGTCTTGCCAACATGGGCTTAACACTCTGCTGGGAAGTGCCGGAGTTACAGCATCCATCTAGGACGTACGGAAACGGCGGCTCGTGGTGCGCATGTTGAGGATGATGCGGTAGCCCCGAAGACGCAGAGGGGAGGTCAACATGGGGCGTGATATCAGTGCTCATGTCTGGCGCACTCATGGACGACCGTTGCTGCAGTGCCATTAGGTCGTGGTACCCTGCATCTGGATAGCTGTAGCTCGTCTGGTGGAGATCCCATTGCCAGCTTGTCGTGGCGGTGCGGCTGGGCATAGATATGGGTGTTGGGATTGGGCATGGTGAGCGAGAAATGGTTGGCGAGGGCTCTGGTGGCGTTGTTGGCTCTGGTGAGGGCTCTGCTGTGACGCTGCATTCGGTGGATGTTGACAGCAGTCGTAGGTAGCGCAGGTCCTCTGTGTCTTCGTCTGGCTCGTCGGCGTTTTCTTCGGCTTGTTTGATTAACCCTAGCCGGTCCAGGATTGCGTGTGTTAGGGGGTATCCATCTGAGGCTTCGGCGAGGGGGTCGCCTGGGAAGCCTTCGTTGTTGATGCAGAATTTATAGAGTTTCTGGAGGGCTTTTACAACCAGGGAATGGTGGGATTCGAGCATCTCGACAAATCTGTGCGTGGTTTGTCTATGAGCTTTTGCTGATATTCGTGGCTTGAGATTCTGTGCATGCACTCACCCTCGAGAATATACTTTGGTCTGTGTGGCCTTTCTTTCACGGAATAGACAAGGGTGGTTATATACCGAGCAACGGTTGCAAGGTTGCTTCCCATCACACTAAGGTGGGTCAGTCAAATCGCAATCTCCATGCTATACCAGTCGACATACCTTGGTCTTCTTCACGCGACAGCGATCACAGGCTTTTAAAACATGCTTACGCTTGACCCGGAAGACGCGCTGGTCGCGCTTGTCCTCGCCAGTCCGGGCCCGATGCTCTAGTTCCGACAACGAAGCCACAGCCGCAAAGTCGTCAATGATATGCGGGAAGCCCTTGGGGCGAAGCTTTGGCTGCCACGACATGGTGGATGGTATCATATTCGAAACTCCACCAGAAACCAAGCAAGGGAGGTAGATATCGCAATGCAAGAGTAGGAAGGGTGGAGAAAAAAAGGGAAGAGAGTTAGCAAGATTTCAAGACGAGGAGATAGAGAGGGAGAGGGCTTTGGCCAGCAAAGTAAAAAGAAAAAACAGAAGAAAAAGCAAGGAATCGAGCAGGTGGGGTGGATGATAATGCATCGGACATTCAGCCGCCAGGGCCAAACGTTGATATCATGATTATCAAAGGTGCAGAGAATTTGTCCCCCGCATCAGCAGAAAAGCCCTTGGCTATAGTGACGTGGAGAGACTGTTAGTCTGTTCAAAGCGTTCGAGGGTGACGAGGGTGACATGTAGTTGATCCCAGTGAGGAATATAGGCCATGTCGGCCATGTAGGCACTTAGGCGACTGTTTAGGTACCTAGAGACTCAGTACAATGACACGGTCCGAGCCGTAAGTCCGCGGATTCGGCAGATCACCCTAGTAATTGGGCAGAAAAAGACAATGAGGATCAAGCCCGGGGGTAACGCTTCTTGTCACACGATTTTCCCCTCGAATGCTGACACTGCACGTCAGAGAGAAACCCCCCAACACACGTGCCTGGGGATTGCGAAAGGCCATCTCCGAGATTTGTGATGAGATGATATCCAATCATTTCCCTGGTCAATCTGCACCTGTGAAGGGGTCAATGCGAGATAAAAATAAAAAAAGTCCAAAAAGTAGTCGGTGAAAAAAAGGACATAGGCATCCTTGTTAGCTGCACCGAAACGTGGTACAACGTGATATGCCAGAATATGTAGACAATTCAACTGTCAGGTGTTTCTCCCTCAGCCTCCGATGAAAAGAGAACGAGTTGAGAGAGTTTAAAGGATGTTGGAAAGAGGCTGAGAGCAGAGAAAATGGGATGTTGTACTTTCTGATACAAAGCGGGGTTGATGATATTAATATTACCCTATCCTATTAGGGCTTCTTCTCCTCCCCTTTCTACCTAGGTACCTTTCTACCTAGAACACCCTGATTCCTTTTTCTCTTTCGTACAATATTACCCTGGTACTGCCTGCATTCTCGCACAGAATCAGACCCAGTGTGCAATGATCAGATCCCAAAGAAGCAGCCCTAATCCGAACAGTTGTCTAGGCTAGATCTTTGCATTGATCAACTTCTCTTTTGTACTGTGTGTGGCAGTGTAAGTATGTGTGAGATGTGTATACTAAGTATACCTACCAGGCGGCACAGTTTTCAGCTCAAGCTGCAATACCATACAATGTGTTACTGATCTACGGAGTACATTTAACCGTACTGCTTTCTTTCTTTCTCCCACCCTTCACGATATCGCCTGAACAGAACATCAATCCGAATCCCGGGTTTGCCACCGAGTTGTCTAGACCGTGGAATGCAATGAAATCCATGGGCCTGTATGGGAACCCGCGCAATGCGCCGATATTGGCTTGTCGGATACTCCGTACATGAACCATCTCAGAGTCTCCCAGCTGCGACAAGACAGGGAACAAGGAACAAGGAACAAGGGCAGAGACACAGACACAGTGTGGTTATTTCTCCCTGATTCCACAGAGACAATATATGAACAATTCCAGGTAAAAATTGGCCACGGAGTGTACAAGAATGGAATGGACTATGGACTATTGATTGCTGTATGCATATTTTCAAAAGCAAAAAGGTAGAGACACAAACCTTGCCCCATGGAAGGGATTGGTATGAGCACCTGCATTGAACATGCAGTCCACCAATTCACCGACAGGTTCCAATTTCAAGTGCTTAGAGACCACGAGGCCACCAGATTTCTTTGCCTTGGTCTTAGAAAATGGAAAATGGCGTGTGAAAAAAAGCAAAAGAAGGGTAAAATCAGGGGAAAATGCAATATGCAATATCAGTGATCTACTCCGTATAGGAAAGAGATCTAAAAGCCCTCATTTTTTGGGGGGGAGACAGTTGGCGTCAGGAAATCGAAGCCTAAACATCCTCGGATGTCAGATTTGTCAACCCAATGTAATCAACCATCAACCCTAAATTGCTCGGAACAAAATAAGGGGAGAAAGGGGGGAAGAAGGAAAACGAAAGTGATGCAAGAAATCACTAGCCCCGAGAGCCAATAAGCACCAACACAGCCCTGGAGTGGACCAGTCACAACGGCCACCGACAGATCAGCAGATGAAAAGGCAACGGAAGAATCAGGACTCTCGCACCCGAAAGCAAGACATTGTTTGCTTTCGACGGGAGCCTGATTTCTCTCCCCTCACACCCCCGGTCCATCGGGGAGCACGATGCTCGCTTCACCCCTGGCAAGCAAATCAAAGCTCTCCTCACTGCTCGCCGTTACAGACGGACTAGGCGAGTGATCTGGCGGTAATGGGTACAGGCTCTTCTCCATATCCAATGCATCAAAGGAGTGTCGCTGAGCCTGAGCCTGAACCTGCCATCGGCGATCCCCCACCCATTCGACACCATCCCCAACGCCACTCATACCCACCCTGCGACGCTCGTGCTCGCGCTCCAGGAGGGGGAGTCTCTCGCCCTCGAATGCTTCGCTTGCCTGTCCGAGCTCCAGGGGCAGGTGGCGCCGATGCCATTCGCCCACGAACATCCCGTCCGCGTCGACCTCTGAGCGCACTTTCATCCACGACTCCATGTCTGACCCGTACGCGGTGCCTAGCTCCTGTGGGTTTAATGTGTGGAAATTCTTTGCCCAGTGCGGCTTCCCGCCCATCTCCCGCATCAGCCATTCGAAGGCCTCGTAGTAGCGTTCTTTGCATGGTGGGTCGCGGAGGTATGGACGATAAAGCGTTGCGTTGAGGTAGAGTGTCGGGCCGTCGCGACTTGTCGGGTCTAGGAATGGGCGGGGCTTGGTGTTTAACGTGGTATCGGAGACTCGCACTTCGACCGGACAATGCACGTACAGTCCCTTGGATGAGAAGGGGATGCGCGCGGTCTCCATGTCGCCGTTCAGCCAGGCCGAAAGACGACCGATGGCCTCGGGGCCCTTTTCCAGCGGGAGAGCCCATTCGTTAACAAACTGCGAATACAGGCAGTTCATCAACAATCCCGAGCGCGCGGGCTCAACGGCCTCGGTGATGGTCGACCCAGCCCGGAAGCCATACTGCATACCAAAGACGAACCACTCGACCCACGGTAGGATTCGTGGGATATATGAGGACAAGGCTAGGAGATTATGGTAGATATGGTAGCCTAGTGCGTCGCCATAGAAGTTTTTCGGGGAGCGCGCAGCGGGAGGTCGGTTTTATCAGCACGCCAGACAATAGCGCCTTTCTCATAAGGCAGCCACCAAACGCGCACGAACTCATGCGATGTCCACAGACCCGTCGACCATTCGTCCAGCACGCGGGGTAGCGAATATCGCTCCTGACGCCAGGCGATCTTGAACGTGGGCGCCGCCTTAAAGGTGACCTCGACGACGATTCCGAGCGCTCCGAGCGACACCAGCCCCGCGCGGAACAGGTCCGGGTTGTTTGTCGGGCTGCAGCGGACCAGCTGGCCATTGGCGAGTACCAGGCCGAGTGAGTCGATGCATTCCGATACCAGGCCGTGGCGTAGGGAGCTGCCGTGGGTGCCGGTGGCGATGACGCCTGCTATGGACTGGCTGTCAATGCTGCCCAGGTTCTCGAGTGTCAAGCCATGTTCCTCTAGTTGTGCGCCCAGATGGCACAATCGAATGCCTGCTTCGACGGTTACCGAGCCGGTTGACGGGTCAACGTGGAGGATGCGATTGAAGTCGTCGAGGTTTACGAGCCAGGACGAGGTGCAGGTCAAATCGGAAGGTGAGTGACCGCTGCCAACTGTTACGATGCGGCGACGACAGCGACGGGCGAGAGTCACTAGCTGTTGAATCTCTGGAATGGTTTGTGGGCGGATGTACAACTCCGGGCGCGAGAAGAATGTCTTGGCCCATGTGTGGTGCAGATGATCGGTCGATGAGCGGAACGGTACCGCGGGGTCGAGCTTGGAGAGCTCGCGAAGGATGGAGGGGTCCATGACTCAAATATTCACATTGCCATCGGGGGGAGTATGTAAAATGTAGGAAAAGGGAGATTTACAATCAAACAATCGAGGATGGCGACATCCCAGATCGGATGATTTTTTTTATCTCCGTCCCCCCCGTCCGTTCCCGTCCATAAGCCCTTATACGGAAGACTATACCCTAAATGCTCTAAATGTCCGAGAAATCAGATGTTCTATGTTTTAATTTATATTAATTTATAGATGTTATTTATAAAACAAAGATAAGCCTAGATAAATAGGCCACCTTGGTATGAAACTTGAAATTCTTAAAAAAATCATTTACCTAAATACACCACTCAAATGCGAAATCCACCTATCTACATCCCCAAATTCCCCCGATGCTCCAGTTTCCTCTATGGCACAAATATGACACAAATACACAGGACTCCAAAATGCTCTGTAGAGCCTGTACAAATTGAATATGCACAAATTCAAAGTGGGAGCCCCTTAAATCAGATACAAAAAAAAAAAGCCCTAAGATCTCACTCAATTCTCTGGTGATCGAATCGCTTCGATAACAACATCCAGAGAGAACACGAAAGGCGCATGTTGGTTTCGTGGGTTCCATTTGCGGAATGCGCTTTGGCAGCGGTCAGGGACGCCGCCGAGGGCCACGAAGCTTTTGGGGATGAATGGTCGGTCCTGGAGGGATGTGGCAAGGATACCATACTCGTGCGCGAAGACCACTGCCGAGGCGAAATCGGCAGACTTCTGTGAAGCTTGCTCGCCGATGATCCTGTGAGAGCGGAATTAGTGTCAGTTAACTAAAGGGTATTCAGATAGGGTAGTACTTACACATAGATTTCAAAGAAGGTGTCCAGAACGTATACGTCTTTCTCAGTGATGTCTCGGTAGCAGAATGGCTCGATTTCTTGAACGCAATCGTTGGCCTTGACCACTGGTGAACTTGCGCCCGGACGACGGATATTCCAGAAACGCGTTGGTGGGTTCAGTTCGTGGTCGACCCGGAGAAGTCGCGTGCGGAAGTGGTTGTATTTCGGCTTGAGCTGCCAGTGATCTTGGCACATGTGCGGCGCGGCCTCCCGGGGGCCTGCAAAGACGTCGAAGAAATCCTCCGGCTCTTCACCCTCGGTGACCTCTTCAAACTCTCCAGTGAGACCTAGATCCATGCCGATAAGCCGGGCTGCACCGGTTTCTTCAGGCCCACTGCCTTTGCCCTTCCATAAGTACAGTTTGCCAAAGGGAGCAGAGACAACGTAAGGGAAACCAGAGCAGAGGTTGCGCAGTGAATAGTCCACCTCATCAAAGGTCATCTCGCCCAAGTGTTTCCGGCCACAAAGCATGTAGAGTGCCGATGAATTGTGGCGAGAACTGGATCCCCGACGCGTGATCATAATGCCGCCAAGTGCTTGGATGAACCGTGTAGGCTCATTGCCTTGTCGAATGACTTGCAACTTGGAACTATTATCACGAGCGACCTTGCGTGCAAACGGCTGTTCATTATCTACCGAGGCTTCGGGGACATCGTCTCCACGCCAAAGGTATACTTCCGAGGTGCTGCTTCGTCCGCTCTCGAATGTGTGCACGCATAGATACATGCTGCCTTGGTATAGGATGTACTCCTGGTGAGAAGGAAGTTCCTGACGCCTCCCATCACCTGTGAGCTCCCAGATCTGTCGCTTTACGGTCCTGATCTTTACATCGTCCGGCTTACGCATCAACATCAGCTGGGGATCAATGTCCATCCGGTTTCGAGCGTCGGGGAGTGTCTTGAAGAAGCCTGCAATTACCTCACGTGCCTCACTAGCCTGCGCAACCAGTGACGGAGCAGACATCTTTCTTGAAAGTCTGCGCGGATCGGTTGGCTTGGGAAGCATAACCTCGCCATCTTTAGGGGGTACTGGCGGGGAGGGATAGCTCATGGGCCGTGAGACGGAACTGCGTGCTGACTCGACGATAACACCGGGGATGCTCTTCTGCTGACTCATTGGTGAGTCCATTTGGTTCTCTTTGTGACTTGTTCGGAGAGGGGATGGTGATGAGGACGCAAACCGGTTTGGCTGGCCCCATTGTGGCTTTGGTGTTACAGGCAAGGGGGACGTGGGAGGATCGGACGCCGGAGGATCGAACTTCGGCGGGACAGGTGGTCCGCTTGGTGGACTCACCTCTCCAGGGGTTTCGGGGTCCCTGGATGTCTCCTCAAGGTTGGCGGAGGGGAAAATATCGAAATCCGTTGCTGGGGAACGGGTCTGAAGCGCTTGGGGGAATCCGCTTTGGGGCGTATCGCGTTCGAGGGTATCTTGTGGAGAAGGATTCACCTCCGGAAGTTGCTCGGTGACTGGGCTTTCTGAACGGAGGTTTGTGATGTCAGGAACTGGGTTTTCATCAGGCTGCGACAGGTACTCTGAATCGATGTCCAAGGATTCAACAGGGATTGTAGGAGTCTGGGACGGGATGGCTTCAGAGCATGAAATAGCACCAACCTCCTTAGTATCATCCCGAGCGGACGGGGTCGAGATATCAGTTGTCTGGGGAAGTCGTCTCTTCGGGCCTCTGGCACGACCCTTTGTGATGTGCGTGAGAGGCGCAGATGGCGAAGCAGGGTCACTCTGCGTTGAAACAGGGGTTGACAGCTGCTTCTTCGGTCCGTCACTGGCAGGAGCACCACGAGAAAGCAGGCCAGCTAGCGCAGGGTTGATTCGGCCCGCCAACTTGCTTTTAGCTGTTGGGGCTGGAGTCACGGTAGCCTCTGAGACAGGTGCCGGTGGCCATTGACGAACTGGCCGGAGTGTCTTCACCGAGGGCTCTTGCATCTTCACTGGGCTGTGCTCAATTGGTGCCACGGCTTCGCGGGTTTCCTCCCGGTCCGCTGAAGGGACTACCTCAGGAGTCTGCTTGTAGTCACTCGCCGCTGGGATTGTCTCGGGCTCATCAATGGGATCATCAGCAGGGAACGGAGACAATGGCTGTGATTCTTGAGACGCTCTCCAAGAACTGGTATCTTTCAAGGGCCAGCCCGGCTCATCGTTGGCAGGAGTTGGCGACAATGGCTGTAGTTCTCGAGAAGCTCGCGATGTACCGATGCTTCTGAAAGATGAGTTCGGGGACGGCAATTGGGGTCTTTCTTGCGAAGCTCGAGAACCAAAGCTTTTAGCAGGCGACGTCGGCTCATCGTTGGCAGGAGATGGCGACACTGGCTGTAATTCCTGAGAAACTCGCGATACACCAATGCTTTTTAAGGATGAACTCGGGGACGACAATGGTGGTCTGTCCTGTGAAACTCGAGAACCAAAGCTCTTGGCGGGCGACGTCGGCTCATCGTTGGCAGGAGATGGCGACAACGGCTGTAATTCCTGAGAAGCTCGCGATACACCAATGCTTTTTAAGGATGAACTCGGGGACGACAATGGTGGTCTGTCCTGTGAAGTTCGAGAATCAAAGGTCTTGGCGGGCAACATCGGCTCATCCACAGGCGCCTGCTTTATGCTATTTGCTCGGGTCATATTTTGTCGCATAGCAATTGCTTCTGGTACGACCTCGGCCGGTTTTGGCGGCGCATCCTGCTCTCCCGCGGTATTCCGTCTGATGGAGCCCCCACCGGCTTTCATTTCATCTTTGCGTGTCACAAGGCTCCTCCTAAATTCATCAACTCGCTCGGTCTTCTTTGGTCCGCCGGTGGTGTTCAAGGCAGCTTTGCCTCGTAGGATATTGCCCTTGAGCTCATCCGGTGCAACATAATTGCGAGTTTCGGTCTTTTTGAGGCGCCCAAATACATTTTTAAATTCAGGTTCCTCGCCACCACTGTTATCTTTGACGACTTCTCGTTTCCGTAGGTTTGCTCGGAAGTCCACAACAGGAGATTGTGGCTTTGCCTTGGGTGAAATTGGCCCCCGTGAAGAAGTAGAAATGGAAAAGTTGGGTTTGGGGCTCAACGAGTCGGGAGGGACCCTACGAGTAGGAGTAGATTGAGGCTCAGACTCTTCAGATGCCGGTAGTTCTTGCGATTCATTCTCCGTTTTAGCGGGAGAGGTAGACTTAGGTTGCTCCGCCGGTGCGTCGCCTGATAGGGCATTGAGAGCTTCCTCGACAGGCGATGGAGATACTGGGGTTTCCTCTGGGGTTTCCTCGTTTGTTTGTCCGGCGTCAGGGCTGTCGAGAACTGATGGGGATTGTGGGGCTGTCTCCTTCAATTTGGCTTCGGGCGTTCCAGGGACCGAGGGACTAGAAATACTGGGTTTCTTGGATGAGAACTCCGACGGAGAAGAAGGAACAGTCTCCTTGACGAGGCTTGGACTAGAGACACTGGGCCTCTTGAGTGGGAATTCTGCTGGAGGCTCTGAGACGGAGTTCCTGTGGAGTGATGAGCCCGAGCTGATGGGCTTTTTGAAAGGGAATCCTGAGGGAGACTCAGGTGCTGTTTCTTTAAGCTTGCCTTCAGGGCTTCCAATGACTGACCCTCCAGAGGTACCAGGCCTCTTGAAAGGGAATTCAGAGGGAGGATCCGAGACAGAGTTCCTATGAATCGATGAACCCGAGATGCTTGGCTTTTTGAAGGGGAAGCCAGACGGAGACTCGGGGGCTGCCTCCTTCACGGGGCTCGAAGGAAGCGACGGACCAGAGGCGCCGATTTTCTTCAGAGGAAATCCTAATGGAGACTCAGGAACGAGATCCTTGGTGGGGCTCGTAGGAAGTGATGGAGTAGAGACACCAATTTTCTTCAGAGGGAATCCTGATGGAGACTCAGGGACACCATCCTTAATAGGGCTTGTAGGAAGCGATGGACCAGAGACCCCAGGTAGTTTTGTTTGAGTTCCTGGCGGGGGTGTTCGCATCAAACCGAGAGGTGTGACTTCCTTAAAATTGTTGACTCGCCCCAAATCCACACTACCGCGCGACTGCCGGTCTTTTGCCCAGTTAGGCTGCGAGGGGGGTCTAGTGGTTTGTCGTGGTAGCTCTGGTCGGTTGAGAGCACTCTCCAACCAAGAAGCCTTGCTGGGGCTCCAACGCCTGGGGTCCATTGTTTTGGAGACAAATGGACTTTGAGCGTCGCCGCCTTCTGCGGTGGCAGAGCTAGCAGAACGCGAGTGACTAGGTCGAAATGATTTTCCTGGGCTTTCAAAATTCACACTGTCTCTATCCGCCGGTGTGGTTGGTCGTTCGGTTGTCTCGGTAGGTGCCTCGCTGTGACTGGAGCCTGGTCGTTGCAGGAGAGTTGAAGGTTCACGTCCAATTCGCCCAAGAGCTGGAGGGGTCATTTCACTCAAACCTGGACCTGCCACACTGCTGCGATTTGACACAATGGAATTTGACCGCCCGAGCCCCTGTGGAGTTTGCGCACTCCACCTCTTTGACACACTATCTGATCTTCTCATCATAGCACTCTGAACAAAGCCTCCTAGACCCTTGGTAGGTGAGGTCGACCGTGTTCGCTCTGGTGACATCCGCCGCTGGGTTGGAGAGGGCGACACAGATTCCTCAAAGGAGGAATCATTCTGTCGAGGCTCGAGCTTTGGAGTCTCTGACAGGTGCACTGGCGATCCGAGCCCAGTGGCCGAAACGGATGATACAGAGAAGCGATGGCTCATGTTGCTATCGCGAGAACCGGTTCTCGGAGGCGACGATGATCTCTCTTCTACTGCCGCGTGTTTATCTAGTTCGGTACTTGACTCTTCACCCACTTCCGGCTCCTGATGCCCCATACCCACGTCCGTTTGGATATCACTCTGTTCTTCCTTCTCATTGTGTGCTAACGACCCAGCTCCACGATCTCCAGCCCCGCGATCTGGCGATGGAGGGAGCACAGGGGCGTCCTTCGAGGGCCGCGGGAACCCAAATTGAAGTCGAGATAGTGTATTCTCATCCGAAGCGGTAGACAAGTTTCTGAGGTGGCTTGCGCGAGTTGGGGAGCGAGTTGGGGATGTTGAACCGGGTGACATGCCGAAATCCCGCGAGGAGGGGCGTTGCTGCCATGACAAAGTCCCCGCTCGGCTACGGGACAAGGGTGGCAGTGTCCGCGAGGGAGAATCCATCCCGAAATCCGGAACCGATCCGCGCCGCTTGTCGGTGTCAGAGGCTTCGATATCTTGACTCGAATCTACGGCGCTTGGGGTCGGTGGCTCGGTTCCTGGGGTTTGCGGTGTTGGCTCGAGGTGTTCTGGGGGTTCGATAGACCGGGCGCTGATAGAGGAAGCGCTCAGTCGTGCGATATTGAGGGTGGATGAATCGTCGGTAAGGGCTAATGATCGTGCACGCTCTGTTTTTTGAGTCATCCGGATATCAGCACATTGTTGACCTGCAGCAAATGCTATGATTATGCAGACATTGCCTGCATCAAGGGGAAGAGGGAGTATTTACCAGCTCTCCGGGCTTGCCTTTCCTTCCGGCCCTGCAGGATCTCCTCCTCTAGTTTCTTAGTGCGCTCGTCATCTTCCTTGTCGCGGCGCTCGCCTAGTTCTCGGATACGCTGAAGGAAATCATTGACGTCCTCGGAACTCTCGTTGGGGGCAGCCATGATCTAGGACTCCTGGCGTTCATGCACGCCTCCTAGGATGATTCAAATGAGGGGGAAGAGTTGTAGAGTGGAAGAAGGGCAGTGTTCTCCGCCCTGTTTAAATTAAATCGGGACTGACGATGATCAACAAATTCATTGGCTCACACATCACTTTTTTTTTTTCTTATACTTTTTTTCAATCTATTTATCTTTCCTTCTTATTATAGTAAAAAAAATTTTTCCTACATCGACATGGGTAGATGCATATATACAGACCAAATCTCGAGCCATAAGGGTTTGTTTACTCTTCATTATTTATGTGGAGCGATGGGCCCCGCAGTTTTTCCTCGTTCCATGGGCTTTTTGCTCTTTCTTTCTGGTTCTTTGGGTTCCTCTGGTTCCTTGATTTTGATTTTTCTTATTTTCAGGGGCTACGTAAAAGGGCTAAGGTGAACTCATAGTTTGGTCATATGTGACCATTTTACCCTAGGTAGTATTGGATATATCAGTTTGTGCCTTGCATATGCTAGGTTGTAACTCCATACACGGTACTCCGTACTTCTCTTCACTCTTTGTAAAGTTCTACTCTAGCCTCTAGCCTATCGGATCTGAGCAGCCTAGTTCCTTTGCTACTTGGAACATCTAATAGATGGTCCTTTGAAACATGTAAGTAGTATTATAAAAGGTAGTTATGCACATGCACCGCATTGAAGATTTTTAGAATATGACTGACGACACGTTAGTTTAAATATAACGGGGGAGACAACATACTTTAACCCAATACATGGGCAGACCAAAATCCGGATTAAAAGAGACAACTTGACATATGTTGTATTAGATGTTATCTGGTGTAATTATGGATATCAAGAGAAGACACATGCCGAGTTCCGCCAAGTTCACTAATAAAGGAACAGTCGGTCCTTAGCATCTTGTACCACCCATTCTAGACCTTCATTCAAATTTGTGCCTGTCATTGCACTGCATGGCAAGATAGTCCACTTATGGGTTTTGATTGAATCCAAGTCAAGACGCTGCACAGAATATTAGCCAAGTCCGGCAGACCTCACCGAATTCCAAGGAAGAACTTGGACCTACTTCTCGGACCTCCTGCTCACTCATGCAATGTTCCACATCTGTCTTATTCAAAAATACTAGTAAACTAGCTCCCGTAAGGCGCTGGTGGAATAGGTTCAGTTGACACTTTTCAAGATTTTGCGGGTGGGGACGTCATCCGTACCTCTTCGAGAAGCAGACCCGAGAGCTCCTGTCGACAATCATCAACCCGGAGTCGATCTGTAGCATCGACAACCCAGACTAGCGTGTCGGTCTTTTCAAAATAGTTTTTCCAGTAGGATCGGAGTGTTTTTTGTCCTCCAACATCCCCTAATACTGTCAGTACAAGTGCCCACCACAAACCTGGGTTGGCTCACATATGTTGAGTTTGTATCTGCGCCGAGTTAGCAGAGCTTGAGACATTAACAAGGTGGAAAATTACCCCATAAAGTCAATCGTCTTGATAATAAATCCTAGGGTCGGGCTGACTGTCGTGACATCCTCCTCCATAATTCGCTTAACGATGGTCGTCTTGCCGGCATTATCCAGACCCCTGCAATTATTAGCATCTCGGTCCGAACGATCGGCCAGAGTCCATACAGCATCAATATACGCATTTCTTTATCCTTTAAGCGAGCTTTTCGAAGGATAGACAACATGGTTGTGAAAATACCCTGCTTGGTGCTTTTTTGGGGGAGTCGGAAAAGGAAAAATGCTAGCTGGCTCCAGATGGGGTTTGATCGTGTCTATGGATCGGCCGATATTATATTTCTTCCCATCACTACTATGTGACTTTCCTTTCTATTCAAACATGTCTATCTGAATGTGATATTCGTGTATATTTTGCTAGATTGATTTTCCAAAGGGCACTCGATCGGACTCCAAGATACGGCATCGACTAGTCGCAAGGCTATCCGAATATTCAAGGCTTTAGATCGTTTTTCCTGAATACAACCACTCAGATATATATACATAAATATATAGCAAAGGTTATATATTGCAAATTCCCTTTCCCAAATTAAGCATCTTGCAGCTTTCCCCCTCTATCCAGAAAGATTGAGAACGGGGACAAGATACGTATTAAAAAAACGACTCAAAGACGACTAAAAGACGACCAAAAACACATAACAAGGCCACATAAGTGGTCGCCTATTCTTCTGCATATATTTAGATACTCCAAACAGACAGACCGGAGGTCATGCTGTCGCCTCGAATCTGGATCATATGTATCGACTTCATCTCCATGTCCTTCCTAAGTCTATTCAGATAGATATCACAGTATCCAGCTTTCAAGACTCCAAAGCAGTATTTAAATGAAGTATTGTTGAACTGCTTCTTTGGATGAGAGGGAAGAACGCAAGCGTATAATCGGATAATAGGAAATTGTGAAGGTAATCTAAAGTGTGACTTTGAGACGAAACGTTCGAGGTTTCCCAGTCCCTCAACCTTTGTGATCCTCTCTCTCTCTCTCTCTCTCTCTCTCTCCCCATACCCCCCTCTTCGCTCTACCTACTCATCATATCTCCCACCTTTCATCACTTCGTTCGTTTCATTTCCTTGCTCCAATTACCCACAACACTGAACGTGCTCTGCAGTCAACTCTCGCCAGGGAACTGACCGCAACATATCCGATCATTCAGGTACGCTTGTTATCAAACATTTTTGCACTGCATCCTTTGAGAAACAAACACGAGGCCACCCCCAAGTGACATATATGCGGAACAGGCACAATTGCAAGCCCTACCCCAAGTGGGTTCGTAGAGCTTCGCAACTGCTTCCTCGTTTACTGATTTCACATGCCATTAAAGAAAAGTGAGAGGGTGACCGAGAACAGACCAAAGAAGTAACATGACGACGATGTTCGAGAATCCTAGCTGACTTGACAAGATCTACCAGAGAATCTGATTCAATTCCTCGGGACCTAGTTCACATCACAATGGCAGAAGAAACCGAAATACCTATGCCATTCCGTGGTAGGACTGCTGTATATCGAAAGCCGCCCAATAAATCCAACAAGTTGAAATCGACCATGGTCCTGAATGGCTCTAGTTCAGTTTCAGCCATGCTTCATGTTTTCGAATCCATGGACGAAATGGAAAGAAACAAGCTGATACAGAGCATAGAGAATCTGAGCTGGACACAAACTTGGGATTTGACAAAACAGTTTGACAAACAGAGAAGACAGAAGATGCCCGTGCAGCAGCCTCTATTCGGCATGGAAAACGAGAGTCACTCCTGCCCTGAGATGCTCCCCGCAGCGAGGGATGGGCCTGGGATCGATTTGGGCAGCGTTGTCTATCAGTTGCTCGCAAAACCTAGGACAGCCGAAGGTGTTGAGGAACCTGAGCAATGGGCAACAGCCGAGCCCCCGGACTGTATTCCTGACGATGAACATGAAGAAGTCAAAAAAACGGTCAGCAATGTGGAGTTTCGGACCCAGTGGGATGCCCGACGCAAAAGTCAAGCAAAGGCATACGCAAAATCTCGTCGTATCTTCCCAATCGTCCAAAATGGCATCCTTGCCTTCACATCGGACCGCCGCAACGCTGTGTACGAGCCGGAGCGGTCTCTTCTTGATGACTGGACTTTGGATATCCGAGGAGGAGATGATCGATGGCATGAACTCAAACATAGAATTACATCGTTTGATCTCCCCAACGCGAGTGTCAGAAAGCAATTCCGAAAATGGTGGGATCAGCTTCCAGCAGGACACCAAGTCGACATCTGTCATGTTGCCTTCTTTGACGGAACCGCGATACCCGACGGACAATCTTCTTTGTTTCTGCCCGATATGAAGCATATCCCCACACCTAGGGACATGAAAGACGAGCAGACACGCCTGCATTGGCACGAGACATCGGAAGGCTACGTATACAACCTGGGGAAGATCAACAAAAAACGAAAGAAGAAGGAACAGGAACACCAAGAGCACCTGCGCCGCACTGCGGCTTACCGTGCTTGGCTAGAATTGCCACCAGATTCAAAGGTTGTTCCACCCGGCATCTATCTGCGTCCTGCAGAGCAGTGTGACGCTTCTTCTATCCTTGAAATAATGAACTGGTATGCTCAAAACTCAGCTTTGAGCAGTGAAACCCGATCTATGGAAGTGAATGCCCTTGGGGAGCTTCTTCAATTTTGCCGAGAAAACCACCTCCCCTTTGTCGTTGCTGCCCGACGTCCAACAGAGCGCCTATGTCGCAACCAGATCGACCCTGTGGTTGGCTACGCCTATGTCAAATTCCATCGACACGGCAAGAGCGCTGATAAGAACATGGGTGAGCTGCATGTCTTCGTCCAAGAGAGCAGCAAGAGGCAGCATATTGGACGGGCACTTGTTGATATGGTCCTCTCTTGTTTTGATGTGACATGTGGACAAAGCAAGGATTACGATTTTGACCAAACTGGTACAGTGCAGTACGGTGCGGGCTATGGCCGCTCTCTCACAGCAATGGTTTGCGCCATTGCAACATCACCGGAGGCCCAGGAGGAGCATGCCTGGATCAAGAAGTGGTTGGAGAGGGACTTTGGCTTTGAGGAAAAGTGCGTATTTGAGAATGCGAGAGTGAAGAGTGGCAAGAGGTATGTCTTGTTTTTGCTCTTCACTTTCATCATGGATTTTATTTGCTAACACAAATTCTTAGCTTTGATCTTCAATACATGGCTCGTCGCATCGGGGGCCCATATTTGAACGATGGGGTCAAGGGCCGACCTCAGGCTCAAGCCCAGCCCCAGGGGAGTGGTCCCCAGTCTGCGATACTCAACTACGTCTGATGAGCCTGCGAATGACTGATGTGGAGACTGGAGGGAGTTATCTTCGGAAAATCTGGTGGTAGGGAGAAAATGACGGGCCTGGAAGAAAAAGGGAAAAAAGTTGAAATCAAAATGAGACTACTATGACAGACATACATATCTAGGATGTCTCACCAAAAAAAGGTCGATTTGTTGAAAAAGCATACGGGGGATATCAAAAGGAGAAGGAATACCTACATAGGTAGGTAGTTAATCGAGATTGTATGATTATATTGATTGTTCCTCCTTAGAATAGAATGAGATCCAGCAAAGCAGCTTTGGAGTAGTAGAGCCGGTCACAACCTTGACATCTCGAAACGGGTTGATTATGTCATCAGAAATTTTCTTGTCACCGCCCGGGGAACTTTTTTTCGCATGTTGATCCATTTCTTCTCGACGAGATCGAGTTGCTTGCACAGTGTTCGGGGGTCTTAGATTTTCTACTGAGACTGCTTGATAGAGTGTGGAAGATATCCAACTACCAATTACACACTGGAATTTGCGCCAGCCTTCAAAATGGCTCCTAAATCGGCGAAGCGGAGTTCCGCTCAAGACGATGATTTTGTATTCACGCTCTCCGACGACGAGAACGAACCCCGTTTCGAAGAAGAAGATGACGACAACGAGATGCAGGGCGATAATGCGCCGGCATCAGACAACAAAAAGCGCAAGCGCGAGGTCGAAGCTGTCAAGCCCAAGAACAAGAAGCAAAAGCAGCTAGAAAAACAGCAATTGAAAAACGCCAAGAAGAACAAGAAGAACACCGAGCCTGCACCCGAACCCGAATCGGAAGAGGAGGAGGATGACGATGATGCTGCAGCGGATGCAACAGAAGACGACGGCGTTTTGAACCCCGAGTTCGAGTTCGATGTTGGCGGTATCGCGAACCGTGGTGTCACTGAAGGCTTCGATGGCTGGGGTATTGATGATAACGAGAAGAAGCGCTCTGGTGATAAGAAGGCTGTCGATATTGACGACATCATTGAGCGGAGGCAGGCCAAGAAGGATGAGGCAGCTAAGAAGCAGAAAAAGAAGGCAGCCGAGAAGGAAGAGAGCGACAGCGCATCTGAAAACGACGCTGCATCGGGTGACGAAATGCCCGTTGACTTCGAGGATGATGAGCTCATGGCTGACGACGCCTTCGGTATGGGCGCAGACGGCGAGGAGGAGAGTGATGCTGAGGGCCCCGAGCCTGGCTCTGGGGATGAAGATGAGGAGGACGATGAGGATAAGGATGAGAATGAGGAGGATGATGACGATGCTGCATCTGACAACGACTCTGTCGCCACACCTGTTGGTCACCCCGACGACATAGGCTCAGACCGGGAGTCCGATGTAGAGAGCGAGGTGGACGAGGAGGAAGCAGAGAAGCGCAAAGCTTTCTTTGCCCCCGAAGAAAAGGTCGATACCAAGGCCAACATGGCCAAGATGACTTTCCAAGAATTCAATCTTTCCCGCCCTATCCTTCGAGGTCTCGCTGCAGTTGGATTCACAGACCCGACTCCTATCCAGCGCAAGGCGATTCCCGTTGCCCTGCTGGGCAAGGATATCGTCGGTAGTGCCGTGACTGGTTCAGGAAAGACCGCTGCCTTCATTGTTCCTATCCTCGAACGTCTCCTCTTCCGTCCCCGGAAGGTCCCTACAAGTCGTGTTGTGGTTTTGATGCCCACTCGTGAGTTGGCTGTTCAGTGTTACAACGTTTCCGTCAAACTGGCCACCTTCACGGACGTCACATTCTGTCAATTGGTTGGTGGTTTCAGTCTTCGCGAGCAGGAGAATGTGCTCAAGAAGCGCCCCGATGTTATCATCGCCACCCCCGGTCGTTTCATTGATCACATGCGCAACTCGCCCAGTTTCACAGTTGATACCCTGGAGATTCTTGTCCTCGATGAGGCCGATCGTATGCTTGAGGACGGTTTCGCCGATGAGTTGAACGAGATTCTCACCACGATTCCCAAATCTCGCCAGACTATGCTGTTCTCTGCGACCATGACAGACTCAATCGACAAGCTTATTCGTGTTGGTATGAACCGCCCGATGCGCTTGATGGTTGATGCCAAGAAGAACACTGTATCCACCCTTATTCAAGAGTTCGTGCGTCTCCGTCCCGGAAGGGAGGACAAGCGTCTCGGTTACCTTCTGCACCTGTGCAAAGAACTCTACACGAAGCGCGTTATTATCTTCTTCCGGCAGAAGAAGGAAGCTCACCGCGTTCGTATCATTTTCGGCCTATTGGGCTTGAAGGCAGCAGAGCTACACGGTAGTCTGACCCAAGAACAGGTATGTTCAAGTGACTCTTGTCCTATATCTACAACTCCTAACTTTTCATACAGCGTATCAAATCCGTCGAAAACTTCCGAGATGGCAAGGTTGCCTACCTTCTCGCCACTGACGTTGCGTCTCGTGGTCTGGATATCAAGGGTGTCGAAACCGTCATTAACTACGAGGCTCCCCAGAGCCACGAGATCTACTTGCATCGTGTTGGACGTACAGCTCGTGCCGGCCGCTCTGGTCGTGCATGCACGATTGCTGCCGAGCCCGACCGCAAGGTCGTCAAGCTTGCCGTCCGCGCAGGTAAGGCCCAAGGCGCCAAGATCGTCAGTCGTGTGATCGAGCAGGCCGTTGCCGACAGCTGGGCGCAAAAGGCTGAGGATATGGCCGACGAGGTGGCCGAAATCTTGCAAGAGGAGAAGACCGAGAAGCAGTTCTCTCAAGCTGAGATGCAATTCACCAAGGGTGAGAACCTCATGAAGCATGGTAACGAGATCATGTCGCGGCCGAAGCGGACATGGTTCGAGACCGAGAAGGACAAGAAGGTTGCTCGCAAGCTGGGTGCCGTTGAGTTGAACGGTCCTAATATCAAGAAGAGCAATGTCAAGCTTAGCAACAAGGACAAGAAGCGTCTTGATGATGCGCAGATGAGACACGATGGTAATATCGGATGGAAGAAGGGCAAGGGTGACGCAGAGTCTGCTAAGGACCCCAAGAAGGGCAAGGGTAAAGGCAAAGGAGGATTCAAAAAAGGGAAGAAATAAGGGATGTGTGAATCATGTATACAATTGAATACCATGCAAATAGCATTTGAAGCATAACTAATTGTTTTTCTATAACCTATATCACTTATATAACCTATGTATAACCTATATAAACTACCACGATAACCGGTAGTGGAGCTTAGATCCCTCGGGAGGTACCTAAGTTGGGAATCTCCAACATCTCCCACCAATGAAAGTCTCCGCCCTACTCCAACCCGACCTCGGGAGCTCAAGCTGATTCGACGTCAATACTATTTCATTCTCATAAGGCTTAATCCCCGCGCCCCACGTAGGGGGCCAAAAATCTTCTCTCCTATTTTTATCTTTTTCCTTTTCTTTCATTTTGTCATTTTTTTCCCGGGTGTATCTCGAATTGGGACCTTGAAAAGGAGACACTTGGAATGGCTGAGCCTCCCAAGACGAGTCTCCCCCGGAAGAGTGCCTTCTCATGCGAGGCCTGTCGTAAACGCAAGGTGCATGCGGATCCCCTCGGACGAAGCCCGAGATTTCCGAGCTAACTGCTCACCAGGTTAAATGTAACGGCGCTAGTCCGTCATGTTCGCGATGCGCTGCGCGCAACGAGCAGTGCGTGTATAGCTTGTGAGTCTCAATTACCCCTCTTTTTGTTGTCCTATTATTGCAATCGCTGATTATTTTCTCTTTCAAAGAGCCCCAACATTATCGTACACGAAACAGCTTGAGGCTAGGGTAGCGCAGTTAGAGGATGCTTTATCGAAGCGCGGCGAGGGGGAAGAGGTGCGGAAGCCAAGATCGCCGTTGTCGGCTGCATCCAGCCCGAGCGGACCGAAGATAAAGATCGATCCCGATGCTGAAGATCTCCCTCGGGCATTTGATGGTCTCAATGTGGAAAATGACGGTCGCGTCTCATTTCACGGACCAACTAGTTTGTTCCAGCTGCCTAGCGGGGTGGTGAATGAAGCTGCGTCGACTTCGCATTACGCGCAGGAATTGGAGGGTCGCAAAGAGCGACTTGTTAATAATGCATGGCGGGAAAGAGCATTCGAGCAAATGGCTGCTATGCCGGTATGGGCTCTGGTGGATGGGGTTGTTTGAAGGATGCATGTGCTGATACACTTCTGTAGGAGCCTTTCCAGTATCTTCTCGACTCGCATTGGTGCTGGATCCAGCCGCTGTGGAATTTTGTCTACCGTCCTGCATTTACACGTCTGTCCGACCTTGCCATTTCAGACGACCTATGACACTAACCTCTTCCGATAGGTGATATGAAAATCAATGGGGCTTATTATTCGGACGTCTTATTAAATGCCATTCTTTCTCACTCAGTACGATGGTGCAAAGCCGAGCCTCAGGTTGGTCCGCTTCTGGACTCCTATGATGGTGGTGCACAATTCTCCCATCGTGCATTGACTGGGGTGTTTGACTCCCTCAAAGTTGGTTATGCAGGCATCCCGACCATTCAGACATTGCTCCTTCTCAGTGCCCAAGAATGCGGCCGTGGAAATCGAACGCAAGCTTGGTTATACAGTGGGATGGCCTTCCGGCTGCTGGACGACTTGGGTATCTCTATCGATAGCCGGAAATATTCAGGATCTGCTCATTTGAGTGATGAGGATATTGAAATACGCAATCGTCTATTCTGGAGTTGTTATTTCTGGGATAAGGTGGTTTCGCTGTACTTTGGCCGGGCGCCAACGATGCAGCAATCTCACGTTAGCCCGCCACGCATGATTCTCGATGACACCGCTGAGATCGAGATATGGACACCTCATGGGGTAGGCTTCACTGACGGTGCCCACTATCCACCGACGCAGGCGCATTCAACGTCATGTTTCATGAAGATGTGCGGTCTAGCGGAAATCTTGAACCAGATTCTAATCCACATATATGACCCAATCCGCCGAAGCACGGACTCTGAATTCTTTGATTGTGTTCAGGAGCAGGCCAAGAATCTAAGTGACTGGTGGG